CAATGATTCATGAGCTAAGGGCCCATTGTTTTGGAGCCCATTGTTTATATTTGTTTGTGTGTACATGTGTTATAGTAATATAAACATTATATTGGATGGCACTATGACCATTATCCCAGGTATACAAAAGCCGGAGTAGGGGGTGGAGTCCACAGGACTCTGCAGAGTTCCTTTAGGACATCCTTCCCCCCTAACAGGTTGGGGAGGAAAGATATCAAAACAGGGAAGAGAGGAGCACAAGGGACTATGGTGATGGTTCATGTGTGAATTAGGGATGGGAATTTTATGGGGAATACACAATGATGTAAAAGATATAGATAAAAATAAATTAATATTTAAAAAATATTTTGAGAATAACCTGAAAGTTTTAAAGGGGAGTTATTTTCTCTTAATAAATATATACCTTTTCAAAAATCATAATTAGGCTTGAAGAATGAATAAAAACACAGTTAGGTGTATGAGATACAAAAATTACTTATTACATATAGTCTTATTGGCTGTTAATGAGGACTATGATTTAGTAAAGTAGGTTACTATTTGGGAAATAGGAAAGCAAGGAGCCCAAGAAGCAGTAGATCAACCCAAGAAGCATTGGGTTAACCCCAAAAGTCACTAAAAAGAGATTCTGCAATAGTCTCCTGGTTGCAATCTAAAATAATTCACTACATATATAAAGTGATAGTTCTTTTCAAGTTTTAGAATTAAACTATGAGAAAAACTCCAAAATAATTTTTATTACAAAAGTCAATATTTTCAGTGTTTGGCAGTATATAAAAAGAAATGTAGACAAGGGCCCTCCCTAGTGATGCAGCAGGTTAAAGCACAGCAGAGAGGCTGAAGCCACTGCAGCATGAGCTCAATCCCCAGCCCCGGAGGTGACCCACATGGTGTGGCAGACCTCTCCTGACCCGCCCGCTGCTCCCCTCAGCAGTGTACTTCGTCAATCTGCCTGTTCTGCTCCCCACGCTGTCTCCAGTGAATCTTCTCACCGCCCCTGCACCTCTGGCCCCAGTTCTATACATAAATAAATAAATCTTTTTTTAGAAAATGTAGACAAGATACCTCCATTTGTCAGGTGGAACTGTAAAGGAGAAGGGAAAGGGAAAAAAAGTAAGAATGCCAATACTTTCATTTTCAAGGCTGGGGGCTAAAAAAATTGTTATCCTAAATAATAATAAACTAATTTCTCTGGGTGGGTGGCCTCTCCCTATTCCGCCAAGATTGTCACTCCCTCTTGATTTCTCTGGTAAATTACAATAACTGAGAGCTTATATAAAGTGACTAATGAGCTAAAGCAAGGTTTTAGGAATTAGGCTGCCATGCAATTACGACTATCGTCAAACTAACCCTCAGGTAGTTTTGAAGCTGCAAGATCCCTTTAAGAGTTAGCCCCACTGGTGGCACAATGGGTTAAAGCACAGAGCTACCAAGCCACTGCAGCACAAGGGAGCTGACCCACATGGCGCAGCAGACCTCTCCTGACCTGCCCACTGCTCCCCTCAGCAGTGTACTTCAGTCAGCCTGCTTGTTCTGCTACTCGCTCTGTTTCTCTCACATCCATGCATTTCTGGCCTGGCCTGTACCCCAGTTCTTGGATGCATAAATAAATCTTAAAAAAAAAAAGAGCCCAAATTAATGCAGGATTCAGGAAATTTATGCCTCCATAAAGAGCAGTTACTGTAGTTGTGTTTCCTTGGAAAGTGGGGTGAAAATGGATGAGGCAGTTTGCATCAGGAAAGCAATTCTCTAGGAAGATTGACAGCTTAGGGATTTCAGCCAGCAACACTCCCCTGCAATTGAGGAAACGAATGTTTCAGTGCCAAAAGGAAGTGCTTATAGAAGAACTGTTCTAGTCGCCGGGAATACACATATTTTCAGAAGAAATATTTCAGAAATATTTGGAAGAAAACAAATATTCTTTAAAATGTATGTTCTCTTAACTTCCACTAACTCAACTGACTCACCCTTTTCATTCCTGTACTCTTTTCCTTTAATTAACATTCCAGGATAGTCAGTTAGATCTTAATTTATAGTAAAAATTAAATCTCATTGACTTAAAAAAGGTTACTCAATTACATCATCATTTAAGAGTCTCAGATTACATAACTATATATATATGTATATATATGTGTGTGTATGTGTATGTATATATGTATATATATATACATCTGACCACCACTGCCTTAATGATAACTTCCACATTTGTGATAGTAAAGAGACAACATACACAGAGCTTACATCCACATTTAAGTTCCATCAGCCAGTACTTGTCATGTGACCTCAACCAAATCACAAAGAAGGCTGAGGAATGTAAGAAGTTTATGGAATGTTATGGTGAGTACCACTGTCGCTGAAAGACATACTAATATAACTGAAGGTAAGTCAAATGTTCCCAGTTGACAGATTGGTCTGCAGTATACCTATATACTATTCTCTAAGGTACATACACACACACACACACACACACACACAGAGAGAGAGAGAGAGAGAGAGAAAGAGTATAGACTTTAGAAAAAGACTTAGTTTTTTCTTTAGGTTTGTTTATCAAGTATGTATTTGTTATTTTAATTAAATTACCTATAAATGGTTTTATAACCCAATAAAACCTGGATGCAAAAATAATGGTTTTCTATGAGATTGTTACTGGCCCTTTTGTTAAGGAGGAATCTTCTAGCATGGGGTCGGTGTGACAAAGTTGAACTGGAAGTATAGACTAGAATATGCTTAACCATTTGCCACTGTGAATGGGCTTATATTTCAATGAGGAAAAAAAAATCTCAATGTCTCCCTAAGTTCTGAGACTCTCCATCTCCAGCCTGCTTCTTACCTTTGTAGGATCAAAAGCAAAGAATTATATATAGAAAGCACAGACTCCCTGGACACCCAAAACAAACCCTTTCCAGTTTCCTAAGAGTGTCACTCCCTCTTGACTCCTGTGGTGAATGACAATGCCAGTCCTGAATAGCACAAAACCAGTGCTGTGACCACTCAGCATATTGCTATGACCTTGGAGAGTAGAATCCTGGCTGCCAGCATTTGTTCACATGCTCATCATGTCCATATGTTATGGCCTGCATTACAAACGGCATCCAGGAGATGAAAATCCCCAGGGAGCTCCATTCTGACTTTATGCAAGAGAGCAAAGGAACTTTCACTGACTACTCAGGCCTGGTGGCTGGGTAATGATGCAGGGAAGAGGGGATGCCTACTCCTCAGGAGCACATCTTTCCAAAATCTCAAAGATAAGCTCCAAGATATATGTCTTAATGACACAACCCAGAGACTGAGATGAAGACCGACTTTCAGTGTTGGACCGATGCCAAAGATGCCACACTAAATAATGACTCCCTTAACAACTAGGAAGAGATTGTGATCAGGAACCATTGGGTCAACTTTTTTGCAGACAAAGGGTGCTCTATGCTTTATCTTCTGAGAATGCCAGCTCATCTGACAGGTGTACGTATATCCATGCTGTGAAGTCATTTCAAGCAGCACAAGGGGATGAATAATCCAGTCCTTATTCCCAAGAAGGAGGATGAGCAATGTAGACTGTCTGCATCCCTTGTTTTGTGAGGTGTATGTCACTGAGGCGGGGCCAATCAAAATCTTTCCTAAAGTGGCTAAAGTGTTTGTAGACACTCTAGAAACATATAACAGAGTCATACACAGACTCACCCTCACAGAAGTGCACACACATGTGTGAGAAACAGATAAGATTGAGGTGGTGAGAGAGATGAAAAAAACAGACACAAGAAGAAAGATAAAGAGAGGCAGAAAAAATAGCAATGAAAATGGGGAGAGAGAATGGAAAAGCAAAGAGACAGAGGGATGGAAAGGATTGAGAGACAGATATAGAGAAGATACACTAAAAGAAATATTTCATGGTCAAAGAAAAACAGTAAATAAAAATATGTAATAGAGACAATAGGAAAAGAATAGATTAAATCTTATCAAATACAGTAGTCTCCCCTTATCTGAAGTTTCCTTTCCACAGATTAAGCTACCTACAGTCAACCACAGTCCAAAAATGTTATTTTTTTAGTCCAAAAATATTAAATGGAAATTTCTTCAAATAAATGATGCACAAGTTTTAAATTTCATACCTTCTCTAACTCTTCCCTAGTTTGAAGGAAATAGGTTAAACCTCTCTTTTCCATAGCTTCCTGTTTGCTTCTTCCTCCCACAATGAAAGGGAAAATCAGTAGAATCTAGAAAAGAATTGTCCTCAACTCCAACCTCTAATCTCAAAGGAATGCTTTTGAGAAAGGCCACTGTCACATAGCTTTTATTACAGTATATTGTTACAATTGCTCTATTTTATTATTAGTTTTTACAGTTAATCTCTTATTGTGCCTAATTTATAAATAAAACTATACGACATCTATTATATGTATAAGAAAATACATCATATGTAGGGTTCAATACTATCCACAGTCTCAAGGATCCACTGGGGTTCTTGATATGTATCCCCCATGGATAATAGCCACTTCTAAATCATTTGACCCCAAGCTTCCTTATAACATGAAATAAGAAAAATTGAGTTGAATTTATTTCTTTGAAGCTAAAAATACCTTCTCAAAAATAAAAATTAACCTCTATCAATGTGACTTAGCAGAATACATTTAAAAGATCAGTGACCATGAGCCACTATATCGGCCCAAACAATTCTACCATGCTTGCTTACACAATACCCACAGACTGAAAAGAAGCCAGCAATCCTTACATTATCACATTAAACACCAATAGTAAAGAGCCATAAAGACATGATGTTTAATAGATTTTCTACCTTTCTATCTCTTCTGCCCACCTTGACTTGGTACCTCAAGATGTCTCTAGTCTCCTTTCAAGGAATAACGTTTCCTTCTGGTCCCAGGTTGTCTGGTAACCTCAAAATATATGCCTTTCATTCTGCAGTAGTTCCCTACCTTTGCTCATTTAAGAAGGCTCGGGACACAGACAGGACATAGAAATGTTTAATTGTGATAAAAGCTCTATAATCAAACAAATCATTTCAATGTGATTGTCTTGAACACTTGAGGATGGGAGTAATGGAAACAAAGCTGCTTGAGTCTGAGTAGATGCTGAGTAGATGTAGGAAACACACGGGTAGCTGCTCCAGGGTCACCACTGTAGGACTCTGACCTCAAAGAAGTCAGAAATTCTGGGCATGGAATAGCAGGAATTACGGAAGAATGAAGTGTCTCAAGGTATCCTCTGAGGCATCAGTGCAGGAGCCCTGTGAGAGAGAGAGTAGTTAGCATAGGCTCTCTAAGGGAAACGTGCTCTTCCTTGCTTTGGAGCCCATCAGCATCACAGAGAAAACTGAGGTTCAGGTGTTTGCTCATCAACTCCCCTAACATCCACTCAGATGTATAAGAGGTGGAGGAGAGCTATTATTCTGGGGGATGTAATGATTTTGATCTTTTTAGAATATTTTATGATAACTCATCTTACTACCTCTTTCTAGCTTCTTTCAATCATTTGGAAGTATACCAGGTAGTAGCCACCAATATGTCTCACAAAATGGAGACAAATCATATTGTATGTTTTTGGAGTGTTGACCTTGAAACTCTAACACCTGAGATGTGACCCAGCCACTAAGCTTCACAAAAAGATGCCACTAAAGTCATAGTCTGGTTCTAGGGAACAAACTCAGGGACTTCCTAAAGAAACTGGGCAAATTTCTCTAACTCTTAGTTTCATAGTAGGGTAAAACCCAAAAAATAAGACATGTGTGGCCAGTACACTCACCTCACACTATCTTTTGACTGTCCCCACACCCCTAATGAATCAGAGCAGAAATATTACCTGTTGGCAGAGGTCCACGGGGTCCTAGAAAAAAAAGTAATACAAGGAAGTGTCTCATTAAACAAACAATAAATCTCTCACTCACACCAAGGGGAAAAAGATAGGCAACCTCCCTGCCCATCAACTGCAAGGCCTTAACTTCCTTAAACTAAAAATGTCCTCAAATGAATAAAAACTACAAAAGGCAGAAGGGAAGCCAGTGCTCTGACCCTCATAGAGGAGAGAGCCTTCAGAAAGGAACTAGTGAGACAAAGGTGGCTCAGAAGGAAGTCCTAGTGAAGCAGGAAGTTCCCATGTCTGCTGCTTGGTCTGCTGTTTCCCCAAGCCAGGTAACTGAGGGGGTCTGTTACTTTGATTCTGCTGCTTGCTGGAGAGAGTAGCTGCTTGTTCACAGTGGTAGCCATGGCTACCTTGTCCCCTTTCCCACAACACAAACAATAAAGAATATGTACGCTATGATGGATGGGGTGTCAAGTTTCCTCACACAAATTATATAAAACCCTGACATTTTTTCCCTGGGGCGCTCAGAATTTTGAGACTGAGCCCACCAGTGTGACAATTAAATCTCTCTCTATTTCTCTGAGTGCTGCATGATTTCTGTGGGAAATCACTGTAACACTAGAACCCGCTCTACCTTTTACCTTTCTGGTAGGGATAATTTCACCCACTAAAATCAGATTCCAATATCTCCCCCTAGGTTGTTCCAGTTCCTCCTACCTCTATCCCAGCCTCCATTCTTTTAGGGTCAGGGGTAAAAAGCTACATGTTGAAATGCAGACACAGCTCATTTTCCCCATTTCCCCAAAGCACCTTACCTTTCTGGCTCCGGTGACGGATGAAGAGACCCAGCCCAAGGAAGATCAGCCCCAGCACAAAGCCCCCAACACCACTCAGCATCTTGCTCTGAGCAGATTCAGACTGTGCCCCTGGAGATTAGAACCTGAGTATCAGTGTTTGTATCCTACCCACATAGTCCCTGACTGAGAACCTGAAGTCTAGTATGAAATATGGTGGGTAGAGGTGCCACAGGACCCTGATTCTCCATTCTGAACAACCTGAGGGACAGAAAGACTACCAATATATTCTTGGACACAATGGGTAGGTGAAAGTGGGCTCCCGCTCTTCAGAGTCACATCCATGACTTCAGACCCTATGATCCCTGTCACCAGCCATCATAGTCAGTCCTTCAGAACTGGCAGGGCTGGGTCCTGGACCATTGTGTATAGAGACCACCCTGGTACCCAGAATGACAATGAGGTCAGGATTTTTCTCATCATCAGTGATTTCAAGCTCACTGGTGATGCTGGGAAGAAGGAATAAGAAGTGGGTCCAAGGAAGCTCTGCCCTCTGACTGGTGGGGCTCGCTGTGAAAGGAAAGAAACTGCCCCTTACTCCACTCCACGGTGATGGGGTTCTCGAGGCTGGGGTGCTCCACGTGGCAGGTGTAGACATCTCCACGCTGGGGAGTCATTTCCAACATCACAATGATCTGAAAGGTCCAGTCCCCATTCCTAATGAGGGAGGTGGACACGACACCATCTGTCTCTTCCTGGTCATTCCGGAACCACCGAACTTTGACCTGGTCTGGGTAGAAATCTGTCACCGAGCAGACCAGCATGTTGTGGTGGTTTAGAGCCTCTGCCCTGGATGGGGAGACAGTCACTTTCGGTGCCACTGAGGGGAGCAACAGACAAGAGGAAACATGGTGAGGTGCAAGGACACACCACAAATCTTTCCATGATATGAGCCCTTCCTTGGTACCAGAGTGGAAAGAACTTGGATCCAAGTCTTGGATTAGAAGGATCAGCTGGGTCACTTCATTGACTTAAATAAAAACATTGATGTACTTTTTAGAGTCTCAAGAAATAATAGTAATTAATCTAGAGGAATTGTTCTATTGATAATATCTGGTTAAAGCACTTTTTTAAATTATAAATTACTATATAAAATAAGCCATTATTCATATAATTAAAAAAATAATAATAAATCTGGACTTCTTGTCTGCCATATTTATTGAAGGCAATGTCAGGATCAGTTCTCACTAAGATAATTATAGTTTCTCACTCCAAGATAGTGACTCACATTAAGATAATGACTTCATTTACTCTTAGTCCCAATGCTTCCCACAAGAAAAAAAAAAATCACAGCTTTGACTGTTGGCCATGAAAGCATCAACATTGCCACGCCACATAAATAATACATGAACTGAAAGTTAAAATGGTATAGATATTTCTATGCCCCACAAAATAACACGATTGCCTTCACATCCTCCCTATAAAACAATGTTTTTCAAACAGATGACTGGATCAAGAAAACATGGTATATACACACAATGGAATACTACTCAGCAATCATAAAGATAAACCCACACCACTTGCAGCAACATGGATGGGGCTGGAAAGGAATATGCTCAGTGAAGTAAGTCAGAAAGAAAAAGAAAATGAAAAATATCAGAAGGTTTCACTTATAGGAGGAATATAGGGAAAGCAAACAGTGTCGAATAAAAAGATGAAACTAGCAGGCAAGTTATAGATCCAAGACATATGGCAGGGGAGGGAGAGAAAGAAAGGTCAAAATAGGGGAGGGAATAGCACAAGGGACTAAGGTGATGGTTCATGGGTAATGTGATCATGGGATTTGCAGGGACTACATATGATGGGAGAAATCAAATATTGTGCAAAAATGAATGATGTAAGAAAATTTTTTAATTTTTTTTAAAAACAATTATTTTTAAGAACATATATCATACTCAGACTATAATCCTAAAACATGAGGTCAAGATTCTATAAAGTGTCAATTTTTAGTCTACTCTTGACTCAGGTACCATTTTATGGTGAACTCCAACAAAAATTTATATTATTAAATATATAAACTTCTACCTCAACATCATATGTCACCTGTATTTTATTCATTTGTTGATTCAGTTAGTCACTCATTCAACAAACATAAATTTGATAAGCACTGGGAATCCAAGGATAAACAACGACCCAGAGTAGCTGCCTTTACATAATTTACAATCTCATAATAGAGACAAATAAATGAATGTTTCAAAAGTTTGTAGTTTTTGAAAGAAAAGGAAGGAAATCTTGAATAGCAGTTTTGTTGACTTTCTCTAAGAAATTAAACTTCATGCTTGCCCATGCCTCAATCCTTTATCTTCTCAGATAGCAAGTTATTGACAAAAATGACACACCTGTCCCTACCTATTTTACATATCTGACCATTTACCTTTCCAATCATTATGTTGCATCTTCCTTACTCCCTTAGTGTGAAACTATACTAAATACTTCATTTATGATTTACTTATCTGGCAATCCATTATGATCTCTCATTGTCTCTTTCTACTAATTACCTTTTAATATTCAAGTAAGCTCAAATACTAGTTGCCCACCTTACTCCATCCCCTTGTACATCCTTGTTTTGAAATTAGACATTATTATCAAATATGTTATCAGCAGAAAATATTCTGAAGTTCTTGCAGAAGTTGGCCTTGCTTAATGAAAATGTGGCATGAATTTTATAAGTGGGACTTCCTGAGGTAATCAGGCAGCCTCAGCACCCAAATTAAATGGCACATGTGAGCCATCATCTGCAGAGAATCATAGGTTCAATCTGAACTTTTGTTCAGATTCTTCTTCCTGGAATCATGGTCAGTCATGGAGACATACAAAATCTGTTCATCTTAAACATACTGCAGTAAATTTAGAGGGTACAAGATCATGAGAAATGCTAGAACAAAAATTATATATAATTTTATTAAAATTGTGATTAATTGCTGTCATTAGAATGTGGGTAGAAGCAAGAGGGCATAAAGTAAGCCAAAAGTTATGCGAACAGGAATAGTTAACACTTCAGTCAAACTAGAGATTAATCAGTGAATTTCCCACTCCTTGCAAGTATAGTTCTATCCCACCATTTAAAATAGTCAAGAATAGGCCCTCCCTGGTGGCGCAGCGGGTGAAAGCACAGCACTGAGACACTAAAGCCACTTCCGCATGAGTTCGATCCTGGCCTGCCCCGGAGGTGACCACATGGCGTGGCAGACCTCTCCTGACCCGCCCGCTGCTCCCCTCAGCAGTGTACTTCATCGATCTGCCTGTTCTGCTCCCCACTCTGTCTCTGGTGAAACCTCTCACCCTCCGCATTTCTGGCCTGTACCCCAAGTCTGTATGCACAAAATAAATAAATCTTTAAAAAAAAAATAGTCAAGAATAATGTGCTTCAGAGGAAAAAAAAATAGTCAAGAATAGATTCACAGGGCCTCCCGGGTGAGCTAGGAGTTAAGTCTCAGTGCTACCACCACAACAGCACACCTCAGTAGCTTGAATTCCACCCCAGGCCAAGGAGCTAGCCCACATGGTATAGAAGACCTTGCCTGTCTTGCCCACTGCTTCCCTCAGCAGTGTATTTCAGTCAATCCACCTGTTCTGCTCCTCACTCTGTCTGATAAATCCTCTCTCTCTCACACACACACACACCCTTTATGTCTGGTCTATACTCCAGTTCTTTTACCCAAACTAAATAAAATTTAAATATTACAATAAAAAATTCTTTAAAAAAAAAAAAGAATAGACTTGTATTGCTGCATTAGGTCATAATGATTTTGCTTCCATTAGACTCTATACCCATGTAGTAAAGAACATAATAACTGTTATGTGTTTGGAGGAGACTGGTAAATAATGTGGCTTGTTACTTACAGGTTTTATTAGGTATCAATACTAGCACTAAAGTAATGTTGGTGATCCCTAACCCACAAGGTAGTTATGAAATAAAAAGGCATAACAAAAATGGTGTTTGATAAAGTAACTTTAGAAATGGGTACTCCTTAAATGGGTATGATTAACTTTCAGAATGTCTACACCTATAGTGGATATCTACACCTGAAGGGAGGCCATAGGAAGAAGAATATTCAGGGTTAAGGGCAAAAGAAACGTGAAAAAAATTTTATTCAATAATTTAATGGGATTCCTTTATTTACTCTAAAAGTCAACCCTTTATATTAGGTCACTTGTTGAAATTTAAATTCTGCCTTACAATACCACATAAGCATTGTCGCCACAAAATGTGCACTCACAAATTTCAAATTATTAATATTGAAGTCACTTCAATATTAAGCATTAATATTGAAGTGACTTCAATATTAAGCATTTGAAGCATTAAGTCAATTATTCAGCCAATCCACCTGTTTTGCTCCTTACTCTGTCTCTGGTGAATCCTCTCTCACACACACACACACTCACACACACACACACTCACACGCACACACACACCCTCTGTGTCTGGCCTATACTCCAGTTCTTCTGCCCAAAATAAATAAAATTAAAATTAAATAATTGACTTAATGAATGATTAATAAAAGCAGTTTCTATTTACCCTCTGTTGTTCTCTTGAGCCTACTTGGATAAGCAGTCAAGTACATTTATTCTGTTAATTTCAGAGATACACTGAGTTCATACTGGGCAAGGTGTGTCAGGTAATACGCATACAACAAAAATTAAGAGAGTCCCTCTCCTCAAAAAATCCAGGAGAAGAGATACGCATTTAAGAAAATAGAATTGTGATGAATAATAACAAAGCCCAAAAGTGAAAATGTAGTATGTCATGACACTAATGTGTCTCCACGTGTGCAGCGTAGGGCAGCCCAGTTCCACCAAGTCAGCCTGTTAGCGCTGCACGGGCTCAAGCTCTGAAGAGGGGCCTTGCTAGGTTACCCCACAGGACAGGCAGGCAGTAGGATAGAGAGGGCCTCGAGGCACAGGCAAAAGAGAGAGAGGAAGAGTCAAACACCGAACACTCACTGCAGGAGTGTGCACATTCGCGGAATGAATCCCAGAGATTGCAGAGGGAGTGGAGCTGTACCCGCTCGCCTCTGCGGGGAGGCTCCAGGGCTCGGGTTGTCAGTTCTGCTGGGTTTTTTTGTTTTGTTTTGTTTTGTTTTTGGGTCCCCGCCCGCACACCTCCCTGCCCGCACCCAGGGGCTCAGGCACTAGTTCCCGAAGCCGCCCCTCACAGTATGCCCGACTGGCTCCCATACCCCTCCCGGTGGCCGAAGCCTGGCCTGGCCTGGTCTCGGGTGGACGCCCTGCTCTCACCTAGCCGCTTAAAGGTTGTGCGCAACTCAGACTGGTAATTGTGTCTGCACACCGTGTCCGCCTCGGCCCGCACACGCTCCAGTTCGCCCTTCTGTCCGTTCCAGTACTCGGCGTCCGGCCGCCCCAGCTCGGTGACAGCGCGGTACTCCCCCACGTCGCTGTCGAAGCGCGCGTACTCCTCCTGGTTATAGATGTATCTGGTCACATACCGCACCCGCTGTGTCCCGTTGGTGAAGTAGCACAGGCCCTTGAACTGATACACGAAATCCTCTGGGGGTAGGGGAGACAGGGAAGGAGGAAGGATGGATGGGGGTGAATTTCACCCAGTCAGTCAGGCCTCAAGCAAGCAACACAAAGCAACAGCCACTGTGGGCAGGGGCCCAGCGTTCCAGGTCTCCACCAATCAGGTAGAATAACCCTGAAAGTGGTCACCGCCACGGGTTCCAGTGGAACCCAGCCCTGCACTCATGCTCCAAACCCGGGATCCTCCAGGTGGCTCTCCCCAGGGTCTGCCTGCCCTGCTTCTGAGAACTTCCAGAATGGCCTTTATAAAAAAAAAAAGACCTTATCGCTAGGGGCAAGCCCCAGGCTGAAAAGTGAGAGAGCAGGTGGTTTGATTTTACACGATTTTTTATTAGTCATTGTACTGAGCAGGATCAGGACCTTCTTGGAACTTAGAGACTAACAAGTATCCCTGAAAGCACAAATGCTTAAGGAAATGAGGGGAAAGGCTTATAATTTAACATGTCCTCTCCTGACAAGCATATTTACTGGTCCTTGACAAAATTCTTCCTTCTCATGGTTGGGTTTACTCTGAAGTTTCTGAGTAAACTAACTGTAGTGGAAAGATCTCTCCTGTGCAGTAAGAAGGAGAGGACACCTCCTGAGTCTAAGGAACATGTTATTCACAGAAACATAGGGCTACACATTTGGAATTTGAGAGAATTTATATAAAGTTATTAATCTTATGTCTGAATCAAGTGGTTTCTCAGTATGTTTACTTTTCCCTTATTACATCTAGGTGATTCTAGTCTCCTAAATTCAGTCCATTATCAACAAATCTCTCATCCATTCAAGTCACTCTTTAACCATAAATCAGTGAAACTTGAAATTAAGACTCCCTGTTCTTAATTACTCAGTCAGCTTCACTCAAAAAAATTTTCCTGCATGGTCCTCCATTCAGAGAGATGAATGTAGAGTCATTTTCTTCAAATACTGAGACTACAGAAACCACTATTGCTCTGTATTTCCCCAACCCAGAATCTCACAGTATTTAGTAGCCTTGTGTGACCCTGAAATGACATATCCTGCTGTGCCTTCTTTTGAGAAATCCATATTGTCAAAGATAACCTCATGCCCACTTGTCCTGGCACTGCTGATAGATACATTCTTTGTCTCCTCATTATAACATCCCTAGGTGTGAGCCCATAGAATAGAGATTCTCCTCACTTTTACTGGAAAGTGGAAATGAGAATGTAACATAGCTCTCTCCCCCCAAAAGGGCCTATGTGTTAAAAGACTACATTAGAACCACACAAACACCCAGAGAGTCCCCCAGACCTGTCCCCCAAAGTGGTGACTCTGGGTGGCTGCCACCCTGCACTTACGTGGAGACTCTCTGCCTTCGATCACTGGGCTTCTCAGTACCACCAGCATCACCACCACGGTCGCTGTCCAGAGGCCTCTGGGGATCTGCAGAGCCATCTTTCCAGGCATAAATGAAATCACAGGAAGAAGTGATAGGGTCAATACAGCTCACCCCTAATGGAAATATGGCCACTCCACTTACAAAAGACTGTGAAATCTTCCCTGCATAGTAGGATTGGAGAAGTGCTAGGAAAGGAACCAATCAGCACTAGAGCTGCAGTAATTCATCTGTCTCCAGGCAGACATTGATTATGAAGGTTCTCGATCCAATGCCTGACACTATATCCTCACCAGATTATGCTAGGTGAACATCTGGGTGAAGACTTTCTCTCTCAGCTATAGATTTGAAAATGGGATGCTTTAGGGGTTTAAGAACTACAACAGAAAAATGATTCAAGAGTAGACATCTTTGTCAAATTTACCTAAAACCTGTTGCTCTTATACTTGGATTTTTTCATAAGGGATAATAAGTGAGGATCCTATCTTGAGGAGAAATATGATTACAGAGCTATACCTTTCTATTATCTTAGAAACTGAGAAGCCTTAAATTGTGGAAAGAGCAAAGTTACTAGAAGGAAATGGTTTGAACTGTATGTGTACCACTAATTAACTTTATAAAATGTAGATCATATTTCATGCATCTGTATCTTCAGATATACAGACTTAAGAGTAATGTGAATTTTTAAATATTGCAACATGTTCTTCACCTGTCATGTGTAATTGTCAGGAATACAGGGTTAATATGGAGTATAAGAAAACAAGCAAGAAAAAAAGGACAACCAACCCTGTTGTTGAGTGATTCTTCATTATGTAACTAGAGCCTTGCTTGTGGACTGCAGGGAAAGACTGGTGTTTTATGGCCATCTGTGGAAAAGGAACCTTGGCATTTTTCCCTTGCTAGAGCCAGGGGCTGCTGCATGTGGGCATTCCTCCCCTCAGGTGATGGCCAGTTGAATGGTATAGTCTGGAGATATCACCTACGGTGGGGGAGCTCTGAAAAGGAATATAAGGAATCCAGAGACTACTTTCCAGAGTCAAAGACACCAATCCCCAGCAGAGACTAATCACATTCTGTATCTGACCTGGCAAAGAAAAAAGATTTGATGACTGACCTTCATGAAGAGAAGCCAAAGAGTGAGTATTTGCAGTGATGGAGGTGAGAGAAGCTGTGCTTGCCTATGGCTTTGTTGCTGCCAAGGGTCCCAGGCCTGGTGCCTCAAAGAGGTGTTTATCAGATCATGCAGCACCACTTCTGGGTGCTGCTGTCTTCATTGGTGTCTGTTCTAGTGCCCAGTGCTGTTCATCCAACTTTCAGACTGTCGCTGCCAATGCTGTGGCATCATCTCAGCCGCTTCATCTGTGAGCACCTCTGGATGCCACGTGAGTTAGATCCCAGCCCACCGCCTCAGGTTGCCACACCCCAGGCCCTCATGAACAGAACAGGGCCATGTTGGAAGAGCAGCCTTTTATTCAGGACTTCTGAGCACTGTGGACACTACCTAGGGTGAGATAGCCAGACACTTGTGGCTGTTAAATAAGCCCTCTTATTGTTCCTTCAATATGAGTGGTCTTGCAATTTTAAAAAAGAGGACAGGATCTAACAACAATATATAAGGAGTTTGTCATTTTAAATGAAATAGGAGTTGTCCCTCTAGCTGCAGCCCTGTCATGGCCCCTGAGCATAAGAGAGTTGTGCTCCCCACTTATGTTGTCAATCTTGGGAAATTTGCCAAGGATGCCTTCGCCAATGGCTATGGATACAATTTAATAAAATTTAATTTGAAAACAAAATCTGGGGCCCTCTGTGGTGGCACAACAGGTTCAAGTGCAGGCCTGCAAGTTAGCCATAGCTGCTTCAGTGCAAGTTCAATCCCCGCCCCAGAGGTGATCCACCTGCTGCTCCCCTCAGCAGTGTACTTTGTTGATCTGCCTGCTTGCCACTCTGTCTCTGGTGAATCCTCTCAGTGCCCCTGCATCTCTGCCCTGTATCCCAGTTCATATGCATTGATAAATAAATCTTTTAAAAAAGAAAAACAAAATCTGAAAATGGACTGGGGTTTGCAAACTCAGGTCAACAGTGCAATCACTGACAGTGAGACCACCAAATTGACTGGGAACCAAGTACAGATGGGCCGAATACAGTCTGACATTTGTGGAGAAAATAGAACAATGGCAACACACTAGGCATCTAGATAACCATGGAAGATCAGTTTCATGTGGGTTCATGCTGCCCTTTGATTCACCCTTTTCAACAAGCACTGGAAGGTGGAAATCAAGTCAAGGTAGAAGAGGGATCACCTCTGCCTGGGCTGCTGGACTTGCAGCTGGGGGTGCTCAGCAGCTGGCCAATGAGGCCTGCTGGGTGGTTACCAGATGAGTTTTGAGACCAAAAGTCTCTTGACCCAGAGCAATTTTGCAGTTGGCTACAAGACTGATGAAGTCCTGTTTCACACTAATGTAAGTGACCAGATGGATGGACACTGATGTCTGTTTCTCAGCTTAAGTGAACAACTCCAGCCTGATAGGTTTAGGATAAACTCCTACATTAAATCCAGGCACTGTCGACTCTGCTGGGTGGCTAAAACATCGACACTGGTGGCCATAAGCTTAGTCCAGGAGTGGAATTTCAAGCATTTATCACGACTACATAATCTTTTCACTTTAAACTATTTTGCAACATAATTACATTCAGAATTTAGTGCATCTTTTAATGTTGTTTGTCTTGGATGCAAGGATTGCTAAATATTATTTTATACCCATGTCATCAATCATCAATTAAAAACAACTGAACCTTCAAGTGTTACCCTTTCAGAGGTACAGAATCCCAATTCTAAGACAATGTCTATTTATGTGTAGGCATGGGGGGAGACTCATGGCCCCTCAAAGAAGACAGGTTTCTTTTTTATCTAGAAATGACTGCAAGTGAAAGTTAATAATTTGCAGACACTACAGAAATTCACATTAAGTAAATGAATGAAACTGCAACTTCCTGACAATTAAACATTTGTTTCCTATGCCAGTTGAAGAAGGCTCGATAGTGTGTTCAAACTCATCTGATTGGGACTTTTTCTGACAGGTCTTCATGACTCAGTTCATCTCCTTTTTTACACGAAAAACAGTCTGCAGCTTTTGTGCCATTTAGGGGTGGAGAAGAAAAATGTGATGAAACCAATAACTCAAGACTTAGTTCCTTCTCAAGTTGTGTTGTTTTGGTTTGCTTTTAGCTTCTACCAGAGTATGCAATAGCTTCTAACAGTTCCAGTTGCAAGCTAGGAACAGTCTCTGTGACTGTAATCTCATGGTGACAATACAAGTTGGACTTCAGTTTAGTGGGTACATTAAAGAGTCTTCTGCTTTGTGTAGAATTATAGCTTCCCCTTCAAATGCTGTAATTAACATCACTTAACATAAAACTTGAATGAAATATTGAAACCTCAAACAAACAAAGAGAAATAGGGAAAATGCAAGAAGTTTCCAGGGACATATGAAAACAGTGAGTTGTTCCAATTGTCTATATTAAATGCACAGATGCAGAGTTACTGACACTGGAAAATTAGTCATAAACTAGACATCTACCAACAGTAGTGTACCAGGATCAGGATAACTCCAGAATAAGCAGGGTTTCCATAATGTCGTGGAAGCACAAAGAAGGAACATCAAATTCAGTTCTTCCGTAAGGTTGGGGGAAGGTTGGTAAGAGGGGTACTTTAAAGGTGCCTTGTTCCCTGAGGCCCCATTTCAGTTTTTTCTCAGAATAAATAAAGGTCTCCATCCTTTCCCTTCTTTCCAAAGGGAAAGCTCTTTTCTGAGACTATGCAGCAGAGACTGAATCAGACCTGGGGATTTCCTCATCTCACAGATCTCTTTTCACAGACTTTTCATCTAGTAACAAAATTGTTGGTTTAGAATCCTTTTTCTGATTGGCTGAAACTGCATCTGAAAGTTTCTGGTTTGGGCTCTAGCCAGGTACTTCTTTTGACCCAATTAGTCTTCTTTGCATTGTCTAGAGTTCTCTTCACAGCCCATATTCCTATTGCATTACTCAGTAGAGTCTCCGCTAGCCAGGCCTGAAAGGAAAGAGACTTAGACAAATATTCTGATTCAAAGTGCCTGACCTGAGTCACATCACAGGGCCTCTGTGAGGGAGGAGCACTAGGGTGAGATCAGTGTGTATCCAGGTGGGTAAATGATTGGGTCGTCACTGATACAGATCAAGGTTACAGTAGGGAAAATTTCCCCAAGGCATAACCTTTGCTTTCACAAGGTATAATATAAAATTGTGGCCTTTGTCCTTGCAGAAATGTCCTTTCTGGTCATGACCCACAGGAATCTGTGCTTGCTCATGAGGTTAATTACAAACATGATAATCATCTTCTAACCTGAAGAGTAATCCAGTACCCTATTCTGTGTTCACTTGAAGACTCAAGAAGTAAGTACATTCTGCAGAGTTCTGTAACTTCCTTAATGCCAGTAATAATATCATTAGAAATACTATCCTCAGAACATGATTTCCTTTTAATGAAAATTTGTCTAGCAATTATGCATAATTTTTTTCTAAATCTTTTTTTTAAAGATTTATTTATTTATTCATACAGAACTGGGGTACAGGCCAGAGATGCAGACTGTTCTGTTCTCTACTCTGTCTCTAGTGAGTCCTCTCATCCTGCCTTTGCCACCTCTGGCCTGTACCCCAGTCTTGTATGCATAATTTTTTTCTAAAAAGAGTACTTCTGCTTCATATTTCCATCATCCAATACTGTAGTCAATGGCCACACTGGCTATCTATATTTTAATTAAACTCAAACAAAATTCAACAGCTTCTTAGTTGAATATCAAGTGCTTGATATTCACATGTGCTAGTGGCTAGAAAAGCTGGATAGTGCTAGTATTCTGGAACATTTCCATCATCACAGAAATTTCTTTTGGGCCAAACTCCATAGGGTTGATGGGGTGAATAAACAAGACGCTTTATGGAAAGCACTTAGCGCATGACCTGGCACATAGTCCAAATTTTAGGGTAACTGCAATTGCAGTAGTAAAAGAACCACATGTTCTCAAATAAATAATAAAGCACCTAATAGTAAGATGCAAATGACCTTCACCAACAAGTAATGCATGTACCACACAGTA